TCAGTTTGACTGACTAAACTAGGCTCTTGGAATATTTGCTAAACAGTAATACAGAGAAGTTTCAATCTCATTGGAGCTCTCAGACAGGATCTGAGTCTTCATAGTCTCAGGTTAATCATGTACCTAATTTTCTGATTATTGACTTGTTCCCACAAAGGATTCGACTTGCTTTGGCATATCAGCACTCATCAGTGATGAACTGTCAAGTGAAGTTTTATGCTCTTTTCACAGTTCACATTTTTAAACTGAAGGAACATGGTGTTTTCAATTTTAACTTTAGGGCAACATCCAATGTCAAATTCAGATTATTTCTATTAATCTAGTGAGATGTAAAGGGTGGGGGGAGCTTTTATTGCTGCTTTCATTTTGATATGGAACAGGCTGTCTGTTTGTTTCTAGAATCACATTAAGCAATCGATGGATCCTGCTCAGTTGAGTTACCCTATTGTCAAGCTTTATAGCTGTGCAGAAAGTTAGTGCATAATTTTTGGTTATTGAAATAGGTGAATATTGTTAACTCAAGCCAAGATAAAAGAAGAATTGAAGCTTTTGTCTGGGGAATGCTTGAGCTGTAGGCTCCTGCAGGGAAAAAGCTCACTCAGGAGAAAGCTTAAGCCAAGATTTGTGGATTTAAAAACTTATTCAAGACAACAATAAAGTAAAATCCCAGGATAGAATGTGCCTTATGGATCTGCTGTGTTTGAGCTATGTTAAGGAGATGGAACTGAATTTTCACCTGGTAATTCTCTCTTTAAACTAAGAACATCCAAAATGATGAAAATGTAGAAGAGCTGCATCCATACAAATGCTACTACAAATTAACGCACAGCAAAGCAACCTAGGACACAGATAATATTCCATATGTTCTGCAGAAGCTAACTTTGACAAGAAATGTTATGGGAAATGCAAAGTTTTTGCAGAAAACAGCAGTTCTGTACATTCTCTTTCTTCTCCATTCACAGCAAAGTCTAGTAATACAAAACAACTTGGTGGGTACTGCTGAATTTCCTCACTCCTACAAGTAGCAGCCAATAAGGTGAAGTGGAGGCAGGGAAACTCACAAAATTCTTTCAGAAACTCTGTATCTCCAGATCCTAGAACATAATCCCACTGAAGAATTAAAATAATCACTAACACTTCCCCCCATGAAACATCTTCATACAATACCTGGACATGTGAAGGTGGCAGTCCTCTTCTTATGTATACAGCAAAAAGGGCATCCTTCCCTAACGAGATATTGAATTTCAGGAATTGTGGCTGTGTGATATGGATTTGTGACCGCCAGAATACTCCTTGTGGTACTTCCTGAGTGACCCTCCGTCCGACCTCTGCCTCCCCGCTATCTATGCTGTTGTTTCTAGAGGCCCAAGGTCCTGGAAGACAAGAGCCAATAAAAGCAGAGGAAAGTCAGATTCAAATAGCTATATATTTAGCAGTCTCATTTAAGATGAAACTCTGTGGCAATCTTAGACGTCAAAGCAAAACTTAATTGACAAGACTAATTTATCAACCCATTTCTTTTAAAAAAGTAGTGAAAATACACTGCTTTCAATAGAGTTATTTCAGTGTAAGTGTGAGAATCTGCTTCTTAGAAAGCTATAAACTTGCTCCCTGGGGCTTCTGAAATCTTGCATACAGCTTCCTCTCCCATTTTTAATTCCATGATTGCTCTTTACTGATCAAACATAATAAGAACAGAGAGGCAGCTAAGCACATTAAAAGCTCCTTGCAGCCTTTTCAACATCCTAATGTGAATGGGATATAAAAATAAATCCACATGGGAAAGTAAGGCAGTAATTTCAAAAGGGAAAGGAAGGGGGTAATTTCAATGTAAATTCACTGATTGAGGAATTTTATTCATCATATGTCAAATACCAAGCAAGTTCGTAAACAATCAAACTATTAAAAAAAGAAAAACCCAAGTCCATTAATTTTAGATTTGCTTCTGCTAAATATAAGATTAGAATGAAACCAAATGTATTGTTTTCCAAAGGCTCGTGTTGCTTTGAAACTTGACCAGCTGAAAAATAAAATTATCTCTCCAATATAGTTAAAAACCCCTTGCTGATTCTTGACAAACAACTTCTTTCTGGACAAGCAACTTTGGACTGCACCTGGGAAAACTGTGAGATTTTGGATGAAGAGTGGTAGAAAAATATTTTTAAATAAAATAAATAAGAGCATCACCCATTATTTGTCTTTTCAGCAACATAAGGTAGGTCGAGCTTCATGATTTTGTCTGCATAATTTTGTCGCCTTTAGAGTGGATTTTTTTGTTCATTATTGGTGTCTGGTAGTATAACCATGAGGACATAAGAATTGCCTTGCTGGATCATTTCATTTCATGCAGAACCATCTTTGACATGACAACCGGGTGCTCCAAAGCAGCTCACAAACGTGGCACAAAGGCAACAATCATCCCAATATTTGTCTAATGATTCAAAGAACCTTGACTAAAAGTCACATCTTTCAACAATCAATTCCCTAAGTTAGTAGAACAAATATTGTGTATATTGGAGCTTCTGCAATTCAATTTAATTTGGTGACTTGGGCAGTTGTATAGCTTGAGGGTACTCCTGCATGCAGTATTGTCAGGTAGTGTCAGTGCCATGGAGCGCTTATTATGATGTTTAGCTAGTTCATCAGCTATGGCATTCCTGGTCACTGCTGGCCACAGAGACCCATCTTCTGGTAATTTCCCATTTGGATTATGAAACTCGGTAACACTTTCAACATGGATTTCCCCTGAATATGGTTCAAAAGCTACGGCTAGTGCAGAATGTTACTGCCAGATTGTCAAGTAGATCAGTTTATTTTATTTACTTTGATTCTATGATATCTGTACTAACTACGTATATGTTACTCGATGCAATTCCAAGTGTTGCTTAAAATATTGGAGCTCAGGAACACCTCTCCCAATACAGAGTTGCACATGTGTTAAGATTTTCAGAGGCAATGATGAGGGACTGGATAGAAACCTTAACTAAAATAAAATGAAAGTATTTCAAGATTGTGAATCTTATTTCAGTTTCAGCTATCCAGCTGCTTTAAAGTACATGATAAAATGGAAGCTTTTTTCTACCCTTCTAATGCATATTTATAAGAATATTTATAGAAGTTTATATCACTATATGTTTTTATTTCAGATTGTTAAATCTGATATGTTGACATGATCACAAATATAGTTTAGATAAATTTGCACCCATATAAGAACACACATCTAGGATATACCGGTAGTTACACCTCTGGAAGTGAATCAGTTTGCCAAAATCTGTCATAATTTTTGCCAAATATTATCTTTCAGAGACAGCACTTTCAACAAGGGCATAACAATGTGGCAGGGAAGTGTGTATAATCCAAGTAAGTACCAAAACATATCCTCTGCATCCATTGTCTTTAAATGTAATTACCACTGCAACAAGTTTTCAATTTTAAATTCCAAATTGCCTGTGCTCTTGAGGCTTACACTTGCATGTAATGAAAAGCCATTTAAACATATTCTGTTGCCAATGTCTTTACATGGTAAGAGAATGCTTTGACTGAATACTGTTAATCTTTGAATAACAGTTTTTAATAAGCTGTGTCTTTTTTGAATTTTCTAGGTTAATGGGTCTTCAACAATATCCGAGGACAAAGAAAAGGCAAAGAGAAACACAAGAGCATGTTGGCTACAAATGGAACAAATGGGATTAATGTAATATCAAGCAACATGCCTATGTGGGTATGCCTGAGCAACTCATCATCCTCAAGAGGTATCAAGTGAAGATTCATAATGGAACAATGATCCTTTCTACAAGCACTGTCTTTCATCTGAGGATCTGTAAGTACCTTGCACACATTGAGGAACCAAGCAACACAACCAGGTTTTGGCATCCTCATAATAAAAAGAGAAATACCAACTATCAAGAGCATGGCAATGTACTAAGGGTAGCACATCAGTCAGTGGCAGTGATGGATAGAAAGGCTAGAATATAAAAGGTGTAATTTGCATCTATCACTTAAGAACGTAAGAAGTGCCATGTATTTGCAAATTGATGCAGATTTCATCATTCAATTAAGACAACAAAGCTTTTCCTAATCTTGTAACTTCCATGCTTGGACTATAGACCCAAGGTTACCCAAGCAATGAGTCAAATAACGAAAACGTAACAGCTTTACTATTTGTTCAAAAACAACACAGAATCTTATGTCAGGTGTAAGAACTAAAAGCTTAAGGCATAATTTAAGGTGCCATACAATTCTTTTGTTTGGAGCCGTATGGGAGAATATAATCCACTGAGGAAGTTTCCATGGGTTAAAAACATGTCTAGATTTTAACTTTTAAATAAAATAATACCGTTTTGTGGATTGACACACCTCTATTGTGGGTAACAGATCACATTATCTGCTCCTGAACCTGGTAAGAGGACCATGATATATGCACATAATATTCAGCAGTAAGTCAACAAACATCTGCCCTACATTTTCTCTTTCTCTGCTAAGCTTTGTTGATCTCTGCTTCCAAGATGACAATGGACTCTAGTTGGCTTAAGCCAAGGTGATGCTTCCCCACAAAAGCCTAAGTCAACCCTACATGATTGCTTGAAGGGTTGCTGTAAGATCACAGCAGTGGGCTGGGTTTAGAGAGCAGTAAAACACCACTGCCAGGCCATTGGCAATGCTTTGGAAATTGAGCCCAAGTATGACCCCATGGATACCTTCCGATGGGTAGGACAAGAAGACAGAACTTCTGATTCTTTGTTCTACCAGCTTATTGTGAAACATGAGCTAGCAAAATGAATATATAACATTGTCTTATAAACCAAACCACTCTACCCTAACTTTTCCCGTTTGCAGTGGGGGAGCCCATTGGAGATGTCTGTTGCCACCTTCACCACTCAAGTCACCCACACATGGGTATAGTTTTTGAACAGGGTTTATCCACATGAATCATAGAGTTGGAAGGGACCTTGAGTCTCATCTAGTCCAATCCCCTGCAATGCATGAATCCTGCCCACAGCTGTCCCTGGGTGGGCTCAAACCACCAACCTGGTTAACAGCCAGATGAACTGACCCATTGCATCACAGAGATTCAAAGTTCTATGCAAGTAAGCCAAACCAGCTCGCTTGACAGTGCAATTTGATCCCACAAACGTTAAATTGTATATGAATAGATCCCATTTAAATACTATACCAGTGCAGGGACAGCATTACACCTATGGACACTGTCACAGTGCAAAGACAGGAAGATGTTTTTAAAAGAACTTGTTTCATTTTTTTGTCCACTGTATGCCCTTCCATATTATCAATTATTGGCTTGTATGTTTCATTAAGATATGTTTTCTCTTTAATTGAGGCATACTGGCACATTAAAGATGTGATAAGCAAATGGCATTGTAGTAACTGAAAAATGTCCCCTGTACTGAAATGGTGGAGAATACATATATCATGTGCCTTCAGCATACTTGCGTAGTAAGGAGTATTTGCAGAATTAATTAACTTTGTTTTCAATTTCCTTATCTGAATATTTCATAAGCATGAACCAAACTGCAGTGAAGTTAATAAGAAGCTCTCTGAAAAACTTAGCTTTGGGCTCTAGAACAGCTTACTCCTTCTGCAAAAGTAACAGGTGTTTTAACGTGGAAGGCTACACAGCAGAAGTCGAAGGCTGTGATGGAAAGACCACTGTAGTAGCCTCATACTTGCATATTTCATACTTCTTGTTACTGCAGTGGATAGGCTATTTAATACAGATCTTTGAAGATGTACTTTAGGAATAATGGACTAAATTGGTTAGCTACATGAGTTATCATCCTTTTTTCATGGTGATGTTAAACTAATCAATTTGACATCACATTCAAATGTTATAATTCTATGGAACTGTGCATAATTAGGCAGTGCGCAACTCAGGAACAAATTTCAAATATTTCAATCAATTAAAAGGAAATACAATTAAAAATAGTAGTGTCTCCTACAAGCATTAAAGGCAAATCAGTTTTGAACAGTTTTGTCTCCTTAGACTTAGTTCAGGGGTCAGCAAGGTTTATCTTGCCTGGGCCGGATTGGCCCTGTGGAGATCCCTCCATGGGCCGGATTGCGCACGCGTGTGAGTGCGCACGCTTGCGATTTCCAGCATCTGCGTATGCGCAGGGGCAATTTTCGGCACCGTGGAAGCAAGTCCCTGCGTCGTGCTGTGCCAGTTTAGCACAGCATGCGAGCAGGCAACTCAGTTCGGGGCAGCTCGTGGGCCGGTCAAATGACCTCCGCAGGCCGCTTCTGGCCCATGGGCCTTAGGTTGCTGACCCCTGATTTAGTTCATCTAAAACTGAAATGATAAAAAGATGCTGCAAGGTAGGTTATAGAAATGAAGCCCCTACAAGAGTACCTGTGAAATTTAACAAAAGTTACAAAGTACGCCTGCATAAATCTGGTTTAGAAATTATTCTGCACCACATATTTTTATCTGTAGTAAATAAAACTGAATACTGAGTATTTTGTAAGACATCACACTTCATTCCCATTAATTCTATAGGCAGTGCAACTAGCTCAGGGATCATTTGAACTCTTAGAAGGGCTCAGAAGACTTGTATTTCATTGTCTATTAACACAGTTCATGCCATACATGATACAGTTTTGAGCTGTCAATAAATTCTGCTAATAGCACTTGCTTATAGTTCTGCTGAGTCTACATTCTCCTGTAGTAACTACTGCTCTACTTCCTAGAACTAAAAAAGTGCCTATCTCTCACCAAAGCTGCAATGTCAACTTACTTGCTCTAAATGAACACTAACAGTTTTTTTAAATGTAGAAGAAAAGAACACATTTCAGACGGTCAAAATACTAAAATAAACATACATGGGGGGAAGGCTGCTCCCATGACATGTGTGTGTGTGTGTGTGTGTGTGTGTGTGTGTGAGAGAGAGAGAGAGAGAGAGAGAGAGTTTAGTAGTGTGTGATTAGATAGGCAGAAAGAGTACTAACAGCTCAGACCTAGGCATGAAACAGTAGATGAAACATATGAGTTTTTTGACGGTGGGGCTAGGCTACATACTGAGACCCTAATAATTTGTGGATCCAGTAAATGTTAAAATCTAAGCAAGGATTCAAATTCCTGGAATAGGGTGTTAATGCTGTGAACCCCTCCATCGTATATATGTGTAAATATACCATATATCATAAAGGCTCCTGGAACCCTTTGAATTTCACACCACTTGGAGATTGGAATGGTGTATAACACATACATACAACCAGGCTGCAATGTTGCCATTAAATAAACTCATATCCAGTCTGATCTACTTTGTTTCTAAAACTAAAGCACTGCAAATCTTATGCACGTGTGAGTATATATATATATATGCACATACAGAGTAACAAATTTTGCACTAAAGACACTCCAGCGGTCCTGGATAGCTTAAACAAATGTATTTATTTGCAGCATTGATCCATTTTGTTTTCATGGTCTACAGCAGTGGTTTTCAACCAGTGTGCCAAGGCACCCTGGAGTGCCTTGAATGATGGTCAGGGCTGCCGCGGGCAACACTGGCCTCTGTTTCTCTTTCTTTCCCTCCCTTCCTCTGATACCTTCTTGTGTCTCTACCTTCCAAAATCTTGCAGCAGTACTGGCTACAAGCTCCTCAGGTGCCTCTGGGGCTGGCCAGGGAGTGCTGGTTGCCAGAAGCTGATGCAGCATTGGAATAAGTAAGCAAGTGGGCGAGGGACCCTAGGCCAGCCAGTCCACCAGCCTTTGCTGTTGGGAATGGACAGACAGGTTCCAGGGCCCCGTTGGACAGTGTGAGGAGTCACTTCTCTTTGGGGTGGGGGGGCAGCTCAGAGGACTCCCAAGGAGAGGGGAGAGGAGAGGAGGTTGAGGAAACACTCCACAAGGGTGTTCGAAAAGGGTGAGAGGCTGCCAGCTCGGCAGGCAAGGGGTGACATAACTGGGCTCCTGAGCCCCACAGGGGTGCCACAGAAAGAATGCAGTTGGTCAAGGAAGACCTGGACACAAAAAGGTTGAAAAACTCTGGTCTACAACAATGCTTGCATCCCCCATTTTCACCCACTGTTTGTCAATCTGTTCATTTACTTGTGCATATTTCAGGGGGCTAATGCAAACCATCAGTAACATTCTGATATAGCATAAGCTAGAAGAAACCATGGAGAAAATCTAAAAAAAAGAAGAAGAGGTGAGCCTTTAGCTAAACTATAATACTCTAGAATAGAATAACAGTGGCAGAATTTAAAAATGCTGCAAGCTGGTGTCTTGGAGTTTGCTTATCTCAGGTCTCATAGCTGCTAAAAATACTTTGCAGTTTTTTCTCTTTTATCACAAGTCTACATGAAAGGAAGTTTTAAATGCTTATTTCTTCTTTTTACCCAGGGAAGTCATTTTGATCTGTAAATCAAATATGTATTTAGCCACCTGTAAATATAAGATTGATCTCCTTTCTCCATTATTTATTTTTAGAGGGGTATTATTTACCCAGTTCAAATTATTGTTTTGTTATGTGCACTGCAGAGTGGAGCTCAGTACTCCTCAAGCATGCCCGAGTGGGGGAAAAAATCTGAGGCCAAAGGTATCCATTTATATCCCCCCTTCAAAAGGATATTCTGAAAATGACACAGCATGGACAATAGCAGCATAAGCTGCATCTCAGACAGACAAATTGACTCATAACATTATTGAATGTGCCCAGGATAGCACATTTTGTTTCTCAGAACTGAGCTCATATTAACAAATATCAAGGAAGTTTGGAAGATTTAAGACCCAGACACAGTGAAGCTGTGGTGGTGCTGGATTAAATTGGGCCACAACTCTACTGAGCATGTATCCATGTGATCAACTTGCCCACCAGCTGATTGACAAGCTGTCATTCAACCACTGTTGAGGTCTGCCACAGTGTGAACAGCTTCCAGTGGACCTCATCCAGTCACTAGTAGGGGGTGCTGTGGCCCACCAGCCCTGAAGCTAAGCTTCTGGAAAGCACCACCCTCCAAGCTCCCTTAAGGGGATTCCATTCAAAGTCAGGACATCATAGCATAGAAAAATTAGAACTATAAATAATCCATTTGATTGTTTACCCACTATTCTATCATTTGAATTATTTAGGAGTTATGGATGGAACAACCACGCCTACCTGCACTGTGTGAAAAACCCCCCCTCTCTATCTGGTGCTTATTCTCTTTTTTTTTTAAAATAATTTTTATTAACCGGCCAATCAAATCAAATTAAATCACATCACATAAATTCCGAATTACAAAGCCGAATTTTAAATTTTGTTGAAGGGACCCATATTTCAAGATCTGAAGGGGGATTCTGATCATCTTCTTGCTACTGTGTTAATGTCCAAATCAGTCAAATCAGTCCAAACAGAGTTCATAATTCTATCCAGTCTTATCTTGCTGTTTCCACATCACATCTTGTTCATATATTTTCTCTTTTTCCTTTATGATCTCTTCTGATAGTCTCCTTAAGCCGATAAACACCAATAATAATCCTGTGTGAATTTTTCCGTTCTTCCAATCCTCAAATCGAGATGGTTTCCATATATCATCACCTTCATAGATAACATCGCTCTTTCCATCATTAATCTCGCAAAACTGTTGCTCTTAAGTCCCTCTGAGGAGTTTCACCCACAATATAAAAACAGCTCTATTTCTCTATTTCTCCTCCCAGACTCAAGACCTCCGACAGAACTTCCCAATATGGCGACGGCATTTTTAACTGCGTCATTCCAAAGCTCTTATACATTCCACGCTCTTCTTAAAACATGCTTTGGTTCGAAAGTTTATCTCCACACAGCCTTAAATCCACAGCTTAAGTCCTTAAAACAACATTTCTGACTCGTGAGGGGGAGGGGATTCTTGTTTAATCACATAAGGAACGAAAGGAAAGTTTTTTTCCCCTCCATCAGTCATTTGCCATACCGAGTCTTGGCGTATCTTCTCATGATTTATTCTTGTTCCTTCGACTAGTCTTGTTTTATCAGAGATCTCTTCTGTTAGCAGTCTTTACTCCCCCTCCTTCCTTGAAATATGTGCATTCCTTCATCCAAATTGTTTCTTTTGAAGTTCTTGCAGCTAGTGGCGCGAATC